TTCCTACCTTACCTGGTACTTTCCGGTTCAAAGATTTTTTTTCCATTGACAACAGTTCCTTTTTGTAAACAAACAAGTAAAAAATTAAGAAAAGGAAAAACACGTTGAAAAGCGATCAATCGATCAGCGTCTTTCTTCCCCTCCAAAACAAACTGATTAATCTTCCCTGTCGTCTTAACTCTTTTTCTTTTTTAAATGGTAAAAAGCAAACTATTTCTACAGGAAAAAATATTCCAGCTTGGATGGTTGAACGCTTCACCACACTGTCCGTCTGCTGTAACACATTGCTGAAGCCTGTTGATACAAAACGTACATAAGACTTCGAATGGCACCTATTGCCAGCCATCTCCGAGATTTGGTGCGATTTAAAGATAGCATATATTCATGTATATTTAAAAGTATCATATATATATATATATATATATATATATATATATATATATATATATATATATATATATATATATATATATATATATATATATACACGTAAACCAGCAGTACAAGACGAGTAGGTCCAAAAAGCTACTCTGACTTTCTCGCAATATGTTCGTTATACAAGTATTTTTGTTGGTTTTTTGTATATTGGTTCCTCTATTTTCTTTTGTCGCTTCAAGTGTTGTTTTTTTTTTTTTTGTTTTTTCATTTGGCAGGGCTTGTGCTAGTGGAGCTGCATTTGTAAGCTTTACTGATATTCTGATTTATATATATATATATATATATATATATATATATATATATATATATATATATATATATACCAGGTGTAACAGCAAAATTGTTCAAATCATGTAAAAGCAAAAATGTCCATTTGTTAGATTAAGCTTTGAAACATTGTATCTTAAAAATGATTAAAGATATCTTACTGGAATTCTCCGAGGTGTTTATAACACTACTGGACTCTACTTTGAGCAATAAGAATGTATAATTACTCTCCAAGCTTAATAGAAGAATGGTGATGAAATCGATCATAGACGAAAATGACATGTTCAGCATTAATTAATCATAGCTAAGGATCAGAAGGCCGTGAATGATTGAAATAAATTTCAAGTATATATCTATTATTCCAGGATCATTTTCCAACTTATTTCGCCCTCGCTAACGTCCTAATTTTCTGTTCTGGAGTAACAAGGTGTCCCACAGTTTTTACTTACGATCTCATACAGCAACCACTGTTTATAAAATCTCCCCTTCTCTCCGAGAGCTCAATCGAATTATTTCGAGAACATAAATATATATATATATATATATATATATATATATATATATATATATATATATATATATGGTTGATTTTTTTACAGCTTATCAAATTATCAGTCATTTAAAGCCAGAAAATATTTTTAGACTATATGAATTTTGTGGTGATAATCGTGATACAAGTCTTACTAATTAATCAATACTCAAAAGAGAAGTGGGTTTGCCAAGACTATTTGAGCGTAATTGAGTATAACGAATTTAAGCTCTTTTGTATGTATGTATGTATGTATGTATGTATGTCACACTTGTCAACCACAAAGTAAATGAATCATTAAAGGTATGAGAACGTTAAACTCAAATATGCATAACATAGGTTCTTAAAACTTAAAACTGCATCTATATGCAGGCAAATGTTTTTAGATAAGAAAATGCAGCAAAACACACAGAGCTATTAACACGCAGGTACCTTCTACATGAAGGTACCTTCTTCCCACATTTGAAACTCAAAATAAAAGTAAAACTATATATAAATGATGATTTCTTATTAATAAATTATATTTCTCAACAAATGAGTTAACAATGTCAATTTTCTTTCATAAAAACTTCGAAAAACATTTTGGCAATTTTCGGGCGTTATCGAATCTACTCTTCTTCAATTAATTTCTTTAAATGCTGAGTTTTTCTGGTTTTCTGCTGTAAATTACATTCATAACGTAGCCTCAAACAAAAAATCCAGATGTGTGATAAGAGGAGTCATTGCTACCCATATTGGTATTCTTCTTTCATATGAAAACAATCTGTTAATTTTTTATACCCAAACCAAAAAAGATTCTTGTGCAGGTGCACTCTCCTGCTGATTTAATTTTTATTTTGTAAAAAAGTTGTCTCAAGGGTTGGCGGGGAAAAAATAACCCTCCATCGACTTGGGCTATTGATATGAAAATATCGTCCTGAAAAAAAACATCCACTGACTAAAATTCTTAAAAGAAATAGCAGTCCCGATAATGCTTTGTGCGTTATGCTAATCTGTGTTGGGCACCTCGACGTGGTGTAATGGTTAGAAAGCTTGTCTTGCTAGATCAATTACGACTTAGTGAGTTCAATCCTCACTGGGTGTTCCATACTTTTGGCCTTGTGTCCCATCTAAGCCGGGCTTAGAAAATCACTATGCTAATCTGTGTTGTACCTTGTAGGCCAGCTCAGCATTTCAAGATCTATAAAGCTGCGCGCACTTAAATGCGAGTTTACAGAGATAGAATAGTTTTCATACACATTGAACGCATGATGAGATAATCATAAGCATGTCTTTTTAATATACACAAAGACGCACACATGTCCACTCCCCCATTGCACACGGCGACAGGTACACATTCAACTAAACACTAATGCATGCGAAAAACAGATGTACTTTTTCTATAGTAGTTGGCTTTCGGTTATATTCTCTTCTGGTTCTTTGTCTACTTCTATTACAGAACTCTTGTTTAATTTGACGGATGAACGAGATTCAACGGGAAATTATATTCGGTTCAAACTTCCATGCACCGAAAACAGGAATTAGCAATTTCATCACATTTATATATTCCTGTTGTCATTCTGTTTGACGTTCGAAAAACGGTTTCACCTGTGGAGATAATTTCTAGAATTCGAGTGCAACCAGCAAAAGAGGCCAATTATCTTGTTTAATTCGTGAAGGATCATCAGAGAAAGCAATTACCGAATTTTAGTTTCTCTCTTTATTTATTATTATCCACGTCAAACTTTTCATAATAATACATTTTACGATATATTTATATCTATATTAGTACTATAGCCAGTGAATTTCACTTTATATATATATATATATATATATATATATATATATATAAATATATATATATATTTATATATATAATTTAAATTAAAAATCAGACAACCTTAAGGATCCATTGATTATATTTTATTTCCTCAGGAAAGGGATTTTTCCTGGTTCCCCAGATCGCATTTCCAAGCATTATATATATATATATATGTGTGTGTGTGTGTGTGTGTGTGTGTGTGTAAAAATATATAGAAAATAGGAAAGAACTCGTTAGGTAAATAATCCAAAGTTCTTTAGTATTTTTGTTATTATTTTTAAAAAACAGTGCTCGATACAAAAGTAGAGCCTAAATATAATTATTTATTTAAAAATATGATTCCAACGCTACATAAGAGTTCTCGTGTTTCAAAACTTCAATATATTTGAATTAAATTGAATTAAAGTACCAAGCTCAGTTCCATCTTCAAGCGAAAATTTTTTTTGAATAACTAATTCCTGAAATTTACGCGTTTCATAAGCATATTCATTATTAAAATTAAAATTACTATGGTAACGGCTAGAGCAATTATTTAAAAAAAAAGGGGCGTAAGGGTTAATAATTTGTATCCATATCTCAGTTACATTCAAAGAGGTCAAGTCAGGGTAAGGTTGGGTGTGTCCTTATATATAGCCTAATTAAAATAATTGGTAACACATTGCATTGGAAATATCAGAATTTATTATGCAAACAACATTTTTAAATCCAGTAGATTTAAGCCACAGAAATATATAAGTTGGGCGGAAAGAAACTCTCTATTGAAAATTACTTTTGTTAATACCCCAACATTTGCATGAAACAAAATGTATTGTGATCACTAAACTGGTAGAATTTCATTGCTAATTTTTGTTTTTATTTCAGAGTGACAAGTGTAACCCAGAATGTCACAACACCTGACGCTGTATGGGCTTGATCTGCTATCATTTCGTAACAAAGTGTGGCAGTTCGTTGTGCAAGTGCAGAGGATGGACCCCGTGCTTTGGTAAATGCCAAAACCATTAGATGTCATTCGAAGCTGATGAGTACCGGAACTGTGGTTAGATATTCACAGAAACGGTTGTCCTTCAAAATCTACATTGGAAGAATATGTTCAAAAACGGTTGTCCTTCAAAATCTACATTGGAAGAATATGTTCAAAAACGGTTGTCCTTCAAAACCTACATTGGAAGAATATGTTCAAACGGTAGAATTTTAATACTCTGCTGTATTTCTGCCATTCTACTGATTAAAATAAATCATGTTTTATGAAAATCGACCAGTAATCAATAAAGTTATTAACAATTTTAAATCATGAGTCTTTTTCCACCCACTCTGTATATATATTTCATTACCTACATACCAATACAAATTTTAAATGTTTCTTTCTTCCTTTCCTCCAATGCCACAATGATCTGTCTTAACTTTTTGGTGATCTGACTAATCAGTGGCTACGACTTTCCGTTATGAGGGTACCAGGTTGGCAGTTCGCTAGCTGCTGCATCCCACTAGCAGGAAGGGGCCTGGATTCCTTGGCAACGCTTAGAGACCAAATGTCGCATAATATCTGGGTATTTTTAGTGTCATGTCGTGCATGGGTTGGTGTTCCTGCATGTATTTCCGGTGGACAACCCTGAGGCCACATTATGCCCTGTTATCAGCCTCGTTCTGGCTAGCTTTTATTGCCATTGACGACAGATAGTGATAACTGCGTTGGCCTTTTTCTTTTTCTCTTCAAAAAAAAATCTCCTTATTACAAAAAAAAACATTGAAAATAAGAGAAAAACAGTAAACAAAAATCACCCCCCTCAAGCTTTATTTCTCAAATATTTGTGGTATCCGTTCAACTTCTGCAGCGTAGAAGTACGAAAGAGATTCCATCTGATCTTTCGCTGCAACACTTCTTTGATCATACCAAAAGATAAAAGTGGATTTTAGTTATGTTAAGAGATGAGCGAGCACTAGACTGAATCTCTCTTGATTGCTATTTTAAAAAAAGAAAGAAAGAAGAAGAAAAAAGAAATAAATAAAGTGAGAAAAAGAAAGAGGGAGACGCAAATAGAGAAAGATTAAAAGGAACAGAGAAAGAGAGAAAACGAATGAGAAAAAGAAAGAGAGGAAAAGGAAGAGAAAGAGAAAGAAAGAGAAGAAGAAACAGAGAAAGAGAAAAAGAAACAGAGAAAGAGAAAAAAGAATGAGAGAAAGGAAGAGATAGAAAGAAAGAAATAGAGAAAGAGAAAAAGAAAGAGAGAGAAAGCGAAAGAGAGAGAAAAAGAATGAGAAAAAGAGAGAGAGAGATAAAGAAAGAGAGAGAAAGGAAGAAAGAAAAAGAAACAAAGAAAGAGAAAAAGAAAGAAACAGAATGAGAAAAAGAAAGACAGAGAGAAAGAAATAGAGAAAGAGAAAAAGAAACAGAGAAAGTGAGAGAAAAAGAATGAGAAAATGAAAGAAAAAGAAAGAGAAAAAGAAAAAGTAGAGAAAAAGAAAATAACGGAAACAGAAAATAGAAAATCTGAAAATAAACTGTGGGATAGAACCAAAATTGACAGGCATTGATCAACCTTAATTTAATCCGATATAAAAATGAAATATAGGGAGAAGATTGTGTAGTACCAATGTTTAAGATGTGAAATATCTCTTTCTCAAGAAAATTATTATTGTGCTTCCTGGTTTAAGGTAAAACTTAAATCAACCAGGAGACAGAGTAATCTTTATTCCTCTTTTATAAAATGGACACTAATGTCAACACAGAATGTCGACAGTCTGTTTCATGTTTGAACGCAATCTTCTGGCCTGAAAATTTCGTTCAAACATGAAACAGTGCTGCCACTGTTGAGATCAGTGTCAACTCTTAAATTTACACACGTTCTATCCCTGATATTGAGCCATGAATGTGTCATACCTTTAAACTATATTTTTCTCACACACACACACACACACATATATATATATATATATATATATATATATATATATATATATATATATATATATATATATATATATATGTTGCGTATATTTTAGCACCATGCTTTCATTGAGACATGTTTCATTGAGTAATTTAGAAATATTCACGGCTAAGCTTTTTAGTGTCATTATTAAAGGAATAGAGAAAATCGCCATGTTGACACATATTATTTTATTCCGAGTACTTTCGCTATACAAAACCCTGATGATGACATCGTGCTATGCGGAATGTACTCAGAATATAATAATATGTATCAACACGGCGATTTTTTCTATTCTTTTAATAATGTCAGCAAAAGCGTGTCCGTTAATATGAAAGGATCCAAATGAATATAAGCCGACAACTTGTGTAAACTATTCAATGAAACATGTCTCAATATATATATATATATATATATATATATAAAGGGTGTTTCATTAAGACGGATCAAAGTCAGCAGTAAATAAATCAGTGTTATTGGTGAAAATTTATTTATTTCTCTACTGGTCACGTTATTTGTGTCATGGTAATTATGTGTGAAAAATAATATCGCCCAAATGTCCGCCAAGGCTTCAGCGACACACCGCCACCCGATGGTTAAAATTTTTGATGTGTTCTCTGCATAGTTGCTCCTCGGGCTCAGCAATAAGCCTTATTATCTCATCCTTCAGTTGTTGAATTGTTGTTGGCTTGTTAGCATAGACCTTACATTTGAGATAACTCCAAGTAAGAAATTTAAAGGCGTCAAGTCGCACGATCGTGGTGGCCAAGTGACTTCGCTGTTTTGAGAGATGATGCGACCTTCCTATTGCATTTCTGTTTGAACGTCCATTTTGCTTCGAACACTTTAACTCGTTGTTTGATTGTTAATCTTTCCATGGTTGAAATTGCCAAAGACTTAAGTTGTTAAATCTGAAAGAAAAAGAAAAAATCATTAGACGCTTAAACTTAATTCACATTTAAAATCGGTCCAAATTATTGGAACACCCTTTATACATATATATATATGTGTGTGTGTGTGCGTGGGGGGTGTAAAGAGGATGTGCTTTTCAAAATCTGCCTAAATGACCAAATATCTGTAATTCAGGGGAGGGGTTTTTGGTCGAATCGAGAACTATTCAGTATGCCATCGTTTCTCTCTATTTCTTCTCTCTCTCTCTCTCTCTCTCTCTATATATATATATATATATATATATATATATATATATATATATATATATATATTGTTCGCCAAAGTGCATAGAACCACTCACGGTCGACGGTTAATGAATGGAGTTGTTTTATGGCCGTACGAATTATAGATTATGAGGATATATAGGATAGACAACAGTTGACCTTAGACTGTAGTGGTCGAGAAGCATCCTCACATGAGCCTATTCCTCATAGCAGCGGCTCTTGTTAAGAAGTATGAATGGAACATACTTCTTACGAATGGAATACAAACGGAATGACGATGGTTCGCTCGTGTCTACATGGCGTGGAGGGGGGAGACTTAGCTGCAAACATCTGAACAAATGGAACTATAAAATATATCGTGTCAATTGAAATAACGAGAGAATAGTGACAGGTTTGTGACGATATGTCTGTGGGAAAGGGACTGTAGGGTGTCAAATATTTCATCACTCACAAGGCCGCATAAACGCTTTTCAAACTCTGTCGTGTCTAGAGCGAAAAAGACTTTCCAAATATGGCAGCCATATTCCATTTGAGTCTGGTCCGTTTCTTGTAATATATATATATATATATATATATATATATATATATATATATATATTATAAGTTATTACATTCAAACATTTAAGTTACCACTACAAAAATGGATATCTGTTTCGATGCCCAATTCAGACACCTCATCAGGTGGTGATCAAAGATAGTTACAAAGGATTTTATTTGAAAAATGCTAGTTATGAAACTGACTTCATTTTATATTTTTTAAAATTCAGAAAGACATAAGAAAAATTTACATAAAATGAAAAGAAAGAAATATATAATTTTACCATAAACGGAAAAGAAATACACAGGTTAAAGCAGAACAAAGAAGTTGACAAGAAAACAATAAAAGGAAAAAGAAAGAAAGAGAAATAGAAAGAGGTAAGAAAAGAACGACATAAAAAAAATATTCTTTCTCCAAAGTCAAGGAAAAGAAAAAGAAAAAAGAAGAAAAGTAATATATCAAAAATTACAATTGCAAAGAAAAAAAATAGAAAGAAAAGACGGGAAAACAGAAAAATTTCTTGATGATAATTTATCCAACAAAAAAAAAAAAAACGTTAACGTTGAGGGGCGATGTAATAGAGAAAGAATTCAAAATTTAACCGGACGTTATGGAAAGTAGATAGAAAAAAAAAACTTTTTTAAAGATACAATGTAGCATTTCGTGTTCGTATGGCGTTTTGAAAGAAGTCACACATTTTAAACAAAATTAAATATAGTATGTAAATAAAAGACACTTCAAGTAAAAGACTTTAGACATACAAAATAACTAATTCGCCTTACAAACCATTACATTATAAATAAATAATAAATATAATTTTTCAATATTTGTATGAATGATATAAATTTAATGGCTATTGCCAAACCGTATTACCAGCAATATATGAGTATAAACCTATATACTGCAAACATTATTACCAGTAATTTATGAGTATAAGCCTGTCAATCACATTAATTGGAAATAAACTACTAAGTATGATATTAAAATGTTTATATGAATGTAATATATCATAAGAGAAGTGATGAATAAGTTAAAAGGTTTTAAAGTTTAGCAAGATTGTAAAGTTAAATTCGTAATGTGCCTACAACGGTAATTTCAAATCTTTGATTTAACTAATGATCGCTATTCAAAAGGTTAATTATCTGCATTTTCTCCTGTAGACATATTCGAAATTCTGATATAAACAATTACTGGTGACAAAATATTTAACAAAGAAAAATGCGATAAATAAAAATCAGTTCACAATCATGAATCTGTGCAAAATTATTTTTATGTTATCCTCTCATTTTATTTGTATTTTATTTTCTAAAATCTTATAAAATAGCAAGTGTTTAACCCAAAGTATTAAGAACAACAAAATATAACAAAACACAGTTAAATATATTTTAAAACACAACAATATTCGTTTTTATTCTCATCGACCAGGATACAGCAGGATTGGGTTGGATAAACAATTCACTGTCTACAAGTTGCGTATTGTCTAGCAGCCATGTTGTTGTCTCCCACTACCTTTTTTTTCTTAAAGAGTCAATGATTCGTTAGGGGAGAGTTGTCTCCCTTAACACCTCCCCTTTTTAGCCTTTTGTTCGTATGACTTGTTAGCGATGTTATCCACAGTATTTATGTTCAGATTCCTTCCTTCTTTTAAAATTTACAGTTGTTGATTGAATTGTTGATTGAACTGTTGAGTTATCATAGTCAACAACTGATGTGACATTTGGAACTAGTCTTGTTGATTCAATATGTCTGGTGATATCGCCATTTTTGTGAGTTTTTGTATCTCATCCTCGTCGCCAAAAATTTGCTGTAACCCAAAATATTTGGAACAACGAAATATAAGAAAACACAGTTAAATATATTTTAAGACACAACATTCGTTTTTATTCTCACTGGAGAATTGAGTTGGATAAACAATTCACTATCTACAAGTGGTGTATTGTCCAGCAGCCATGTTTTTGTCTCTCACTACCTTTTTTCCGAGAAGAGCCAATGATTCGTTAGGAGAGAGTTGTCACCCCTAACAGAAAGGGAAATTACTAAGTTATAAAATAATAGGGAAAGTTTCTCTTCAGATCGATAGTATTTTTCAATCTTTGGAATATGTACTTACAGTTTCTGTGTGTGCGCATTTATATGTGTGCCGTGCTCATCAGAATGTGAGCAACCATGAATTTTTAGATAATGTTTTTAATGACATGATATAGGCCACAACAGGGATGGCGGTTTCATAAGTCTAAGAAACTGTAACAAACAAAAAACGAACATAACCAGAAAAATAATCATAAGTTCTTCTAAAATATGAGATTCGACATAGACAAAAAAAAAACCCTTAAAGAAATGGATGTGTTAGATGTCACACTCCACCTAAGAAAAGGTAAATATCAATCACAACGGTAAAGCACTTTACATGCATACATCTACCAACCAACAGCGAACGATAATCAAGCAGATCTCACAACCATTTAACCGCAGGTTATCTGACAATTCAGTCTTCAACGAAGACAAAAAGATTATGAAAGAGCCTTAAAATATAGTGGATTTTCAACAACACTCATATAACCCACTGCAAAGTACAAGGAACCCACCATACAACAAAGGCGAACCTAGGAAAAATATTCATTAAACTGATACACAAACACTCCTCCATCAAGCACTCACCACAAAATATTCAACAGAAACAGTAAAATTCACGGCACAAATAATAAAAATCTCAACAGAAAAATAACCAACAAACCCACCGAAAACTGAAAAGCAAAGAATGAGTGCCCCTTAAATAGCATTTTTTACAAAACAATATAATATACCAAGCCAATCAGCATATATCGAAGAAAAAATATACATAGGCATAACTGAGGGACCCTGGAAACAGAAACTACGCTTACAAAACATTAT